GGGGGCGGGGGAGCCGCTGAGGCTTGAAGGGAGGGCGGCGTGGTAGCAGCACTTCTGATAAAATAAAGAGAATTAATCGGGGATAGGAAACTTAATTATTTTTGTTTGTTTGTTTGTGGATTTTTGTTTTTATTTTCCTTTCTTGCTGCCGGGCGGAGCAGCCTGCCTGCCTGCCTGCATCCGTTTCAGCAGTCGTGGACCTCGGCATCTGTTTGCGCCGCCTGCACGCCGTGGTTTTACCTTTGTCCTGTGTTCTAGCTGCACGCTTTTAGCGCTGCCAAATAACGAATATTTTTTTTTATTTACCCTGAATCAAACTTCAATTTGGTGGCGGTTAGAAACCAAAATGCGGAAAAGGAGTACTTTAAGAGCAGTGAACAGAAATGTTCCTTAGATCATTTAATCCTTACTACTTCGCTAAATACTGATTAATCAAGTGTTAATTGTAGTCAGTTATTCCGACTAACGGAGATGGCCAACACTGTCTAAAACCAAATGTTTGTGGTTTTTTTTTTTCCTATTGATTCTCTCCCACCTCAGATTGAAAAAGGAGAAATGGTTCCTCTGAACAAACTAATCATTGACCCAAACTAACTGAATTAAGTGGAATGCAGGATATATATATATATATATTTCTTTCAGAATCAGCTGAAGAAGCCAGTGTCATCAAAACCAGCTTAGAACTTGAGCAAAGTGAAGTGATCACAAGGGCTTAGTCAGTAGCTTTGAGCACTTCTGTAGTTCATCCTTAAAAATACGTGTATATATTATTTAAAACTGGTTTTAGAGCCTATATTACAGTTGCATCTTAAAGTTTGCAACTGCTATTAATTGTTATAATAGATTATTTCTTAATTGCATAATAATTGAATCATAGAATCATAGAATGTTTTGGGTTGGAAGGGACCCCTAGAGGCCATCTAGTCCACCCCCCCCTGCAGTGAGCATGGACACCTTGAACTGGATCAGGTTGCTCAGAGCCCTATCCAACCTGGCCTTGAATGTTTCCAGGGTTGGGGCCTCCACCATCTCTCTGGGCAACCCGCTCCAGTTGCACTACTGATACCTGGTTTGACCCTAATAGGTTTGTAATTCCTTGATTCTTATCCTTCCTTCTGTTGGCCTTAGTGACTAGCCCTCAGTTGGTCAGTACATATTGTGAAGAAATGGAGATAGTTGGAGATGACCAAGGTTACATGTTTGAAGAGTTATGGTTAGTCAGGCAGTCAACCGTGCACGCTCTTCGCCAGCTGTAGGTAAAGCATGCTAGTTGTTTAAACCATTTTATGCATGATTCTCTTTCTAATTTCCTTCTTACTGAAGTGAGTGGGGGTGGGGACCTTAATTCACCAATATTAAACCTATATTGTAAAGTCAAAAAGTTTCATTTAAAGTTGTGGTAGTGACTAAATGCAGTTACAGTGCTGAAAAGGTGTGGCTTTATCATAAGAGTGCACCTCCTGTCTCTGCTGAAGGCATTTAAAAGCTTGCTGTACACAGAAACAAGAGGTCTAGAATCTTTTCTTTTTCTTCTCTTGCTGCTGACTGTGCAGTTATGTGCCCCGGTCCCTGCCCCGGTTTCCCCTTTTTCATTGTGTATACCATCTTCTCCTTTTTGGGCTAATATTTTTTTCTTCTGGGTGAGTGAGCTGAATCAGCACGGATCAGAGACTGCTTAAGATGTTGATTTTTTTTTTTTATTTTCTTTATAATTTTTTGAGGGGGTGTGCGTGAAGCTTTATATTGGCCAAAAAAAAAAAGGAACATTTTAACATATTGAAACTGTGGTACAGAAAAACAAGTCTTAATTGTAAAGCATTAGTGTTGATCAGTCAAGTAACACTTTCAAATTACAAGTTCCTCTTGTTATTCAAGAGTTCTCCATACCTTCATTTTTAGCGATGTGTTGGAAATTTATTCTGGAATAATTTGACAGAGAGAAAATACTTGCAATTACTACTACTATCTTCAAATTTTTACAGAGTGATAGGGGTAATAGTCCTTTTAAGGAAGAGTGTCAATTGTGGGGCTGCTCTGCTCTTTAAATCCTTGATATTCCTGTCACATTGAAATACAGAAAGTTAATTTCTTAGAATCACAGAATGGCTGAGGAGGGAAGGGACCTCTGGGCATTGTCCGGTCCAGCCTCCTGCTCAAGCAGGGTCACCTACACCAGGCTGCTCAGGGTTGTGTCGAGTTGGGGTTTCAATATCTCCAAGGATGGAGACTCCATAACCTCTCTGGGCAACCTGTGCCACTGTTTGACCACCACTATGGCAACGCTGTGTGGGTTTGGGGTTTTTTTTCATGTGTTGGGGGGGGTTGTGTGGTGTGTGGGTTTTGGTTTTTAGGGGGGTTTTTTGGGTTTTTTTTTTGTAGAGTAAGTAAGTTCTTCATGTGGTTATTTTTCAGAAGGTTTTCTGAGAGTGGCACTGATATAAGTCTGAGGATTAACCATACTCAAATATTCCAGATGAGAACGAAGATTTCCAGAAGCTTGCAGAAAGGGAAATCTCCTCCTGTGAAGAAGAGATAGCTGAACTGAAACACCAGGTTAGACCCCCTTTAAAAGCCTGTATTTCCTTGCCATTCTTAAATTAACAAAGCCAAATTGTCTTCTTATCAAAATAAGACGTATACAATAAACTCTTCTCCTCTTCCCCTCCTTGCCAATTGTACTACTCCTCAACTAGTTTCTGTTATCTAAGGAAAATGAAAAATGCAGATGGTATAGAGACAGCCTGTAAGTGCGTGCCTACTTGTAGCTGAAATTGTTTGAATCAACGCGTATTTATAAGTAGGTGCTACAGTTTGTCTTGTCTGGGTGTACCTTTATGGATGGCCAGCTTTTTATCTATTGGAAACATTAAACTTGTATCACACTCACTAGTGGTTTCCAAAAAAATAGTTTAATACTATGTAACTACATAGTATCTATGTTATTTAAACATAAAAATAATTATCTTTTTGTAAAGAAAGTTACATATTCTTAAAGTTACTGGTGAAATAGAAGCTGATATTGTCACGTTCTTTATTCCTTCGACAGCAATACAGCATTTTTAGAAATGCTTATGATTTTGTCAAAAGAAGTCATCTGTAGAAAGAAACATCACCTAATGCTAGTAAAGGAAGATGATTGAAAAGCATTTGCAAATTATCCAGAGTTTTGAGCCAGCCTGCAAAACTGTGATACAGGTTCTAGCGTACCTTTCTTCTACAGATCAATATAAGGCTGTCTCTCTCTTCTGAAATAAATAAATGAATAAATCAGCTGAGCTGTTGTTGAAGGACTGTCCTCCTGAACATCCATACCTTCTTAGTTCTGCAGTTGAGGCTGGGTTAAGAGGGAATCAGATGGGAAGGGAGATGCTGGGTTGTCTTGCAAGAACCAGCCTGTATCCTGTGGTGTCCAGACGTCGCAGTGCTCCTGATGGGTGAAAACTTCTGTGAAGTTTCATAGGTCTGGAGAGAGACCGGTGTAGCTCCTGCAACTGTGAACAGGCACAGGGAGCCTTCCTGCAATGCAGCATCCCCCCCACCTCTTCCTGATGGCTGCTGCTTCGCGGCGAGAGGGCTGAGAAGCCGGGGCAACCAAGGAGTTAGGGCAGGGGAACGCAGCCCAGGCTCATTGCAGACTTGTCTGCCCTTTTGTGCTATCTCAGTTGCAGAGAGCAGTGTGAGAGGGGAGTCTTAGCTGGGTGTTTTTGTATTCGCAGATAGTGTTGCTTTTGATTCCTCCAGAAGAAACAGACAAGAGCGATCTTGTCATGGAAGTAACCGCTGGAGTCGGAGGGCAGGAAGCCATGCTGTTCACCTCGGAGATATTTGATATGTATCAACGATACGCTGCCTATAAAAAGTGGAAATTTGAAATATTAGAATACTTTCCCAGTGAAATAGGTCAGTAATGAAAATACTTGATCTTTGTAACTTTTTAATTTAAGTTGAAGTACTCATTCATCTGACACTTGAATTTCCTAACTACGGGAAGCTAATTTGCACTAACTTAATTTTAGAAGCAGAAGGTTGTTAGAATGTCTGACTATGATTTTCCTCGGCTTCTGTATTTGAGAATGAAATTCCATTTCAGAAGTACTATTAAAATACTAAAGTGCTAAATGATAAAACTTGTCTTTCAGTAGTTTCAAAAAGTAGAAATGAAACTAAGTGCTTGGCGGAAGAAAATTCAGAAAGTGATGCAGTTATGTTGGTTTAGATTATTTTTTTTACAAATACAGATTACATACACTTTTTATTTGGATATGCTGTTCTACTTAGTTAATGTTTCTAGTGTTTACAGAGTCAGGTTGAGAGTCTGTTTATTATGGATCCCTTGGCAGAGATGGGTCAGTATAATTAAAACTATTCTTGATGTTTAATCTAAAATATCTTGAATTTAACGGAAATAATGTAATCTGAGGCTTTATATAAGGAAAGGGGGTGTAACAGCTAAGTGGGGGAATTGTTGAGATTTTGAGGAGAGAGATAAGAGATCTAACCATTTATGAAAGTCTTCAACTAAAATTTCACAGGTAATCAGTTTAACAGCTTGATGCCAGTAAAAGGAGGTGCTTCTCCTTTCTCTCCTCGTCCTTACTGCCTCTCTGCCTGTCTGAGCAGCCCTACCTTTTTTTTTGGTTTTTTTTTTTTAATGTCCTTTCAATTAAACTGGCAAAGACTTTGCTTTTTATGACTGGGTTGGTTTTTTCTCCCAGTTCATGGTGTTAAGTCAGTTCTCAGGAGCCTTAGAGCTAGCATAAGATAAGCAGCAACATGGGTCTGAATGCAAGGAGGTGGAAAAACTGGATCTTCTGGTCATGATGAGCTGTGAAGTTGGTTCACTGCATCTCATGGAACAGTGTCTTTGCAAAGATGAGGATTGGTAGATTTACACAACAAACTGAGGCAATGGCACATACCAGTTAATTTTAGCTTAATCCAGTTAGTGTGTAAAGCTGTTTCACAAAGATCAGGCTGCTGTCTCCATGTTCCTGCTGTTTTTTCATTGGCACTTGTGATTATGCATCTTCACAGAGTATAATCACCAAGTCAATCCAAGTGAAAAATAGCACCCACACACACCCCAATTAGTTTTCAGGTAATCCAGCACAGGAGAAAAGAAGAAATGCTCATGGCGGTGGTGGAGGCAGAGGTGTGTGTCTGGTGGTGGTGTCAGTGAGAAAAGCAGGACCTCCTTCCCGTACCAAGAGGTTCAGTCAGCTTAAGCCAACTGAAACTGCAGTCCAACACCTGTCCAACCAGTGGCAGGGATTTTGGGTGTTCATTGACAGATTGCTAGCCACGTTTCTCAGCAGGCTAGGTTTGCTAAGTCTGTCTGTGTTAACAGATCTGCAGGCTTACTGTTATCCCTGCTGCTGTGAGTAAAGCTAGCACATTTTGCTTACATATCTCTGTGGAGGTTATATATATCTATATATTTATCAGTATAGATCAGTAGACAGGCACTTGTGCAGCTTATTGCTCCTAGCTCAGATTGGTTGTGAAACTTTACCTGTACTCATCCGTTCATCAGCAGTTTTTTTTCTTTTTCAGTGAAACTTTGAAGAGAAATGAGAAAAGCTAGAATGTTAGGATATGCAGTCTATCAGAAAAACTAATCTTTTTTCAATCAACACTTAATATAATTGCAAAGAGATTTTTAGCAAGCTTTGAAAAATATGAAGCATCTTCTTAAACTTACTCTGTTTACTGATGCCATATTTTGGACTTCGATATTTTCAAGTATCTTGAACCCTTTCTGTTTCAACTGTGTAGAAATTCACAAAAAAAAATAAATATCCACAACTCTCCTAATTGAGCTTCTTATGTCAGTGAGCTACTTTCCCCTTCTAGTGAGGGTCTTTCTGTGCTCTGAGACACTTAAAATCATAGAATCATTTGGTTGGAAAAGACTTTTAAGATCGAGTCCAACCATACCTGTCCACTACTAAACAATGTCCCTAAGCACCACATCTGCACATCTTTTAAATACCTCCAGGGATGGTGACTCAACCACTTCCCTGGGTAGCTCATTCCAGTGTCTGATAACCCTTTTGGGGAAGAAATTTTTCCTAATATCCAATCTAAACCTCCCCTGGCACAACTTGAGGTTGTCTCCTCTCGTCTTATCACTTATTGGGAGAAGAGACCAACACCCACCTCACTACACCATCCTGTGAGGCAGTTGTAGAGGGCAGTAAGGTCTCCCCTAAGCCTCCTCTTCTCCAGGCTAAACAACCCCAGTTCCATCAGCCGTTCCTCATAAGACTTGTGCTCCAGACTGAAGGCGTGCTTCACCAGCTTCGTTGACCTTCTCTGGACATGCTCCAGAGAGCATGCATAAGTATAGGTTTTGCATCTTCTTGCGTAAGTATAGGTTTTGATTCACTGTTATATACTGAGGGATTAAAAGAAGGTTCAAAATTGAACTCCATGGGATAAATAGTCGGACATCACAAACTGCATCTTCCTTATTTTGTACACTAGGGGGAGAGAAGAGTTGCCCTTTCCACTGAGGCACAACGTAGATGGGGTGAACCCCAGCAGTCACATACAACTTCACATTCAGAGCACAGTTTCAGTCAGCTTACACAAGGGCTGTTCCACCTTCCAGCCAGCTGCCAGTTCGTTCTCTCTCTCAGCTCTAGGAGTTTGGAGGCCACAGTGCTAATTGGATCAAGCCAGTGATTTGGCTTAAAAACTCTTTGATATTGGATAGTTTTAAGTCAGGTCTGACTCAGCTTGGCAGTCCTGTGATTGGAAGAGAAAGGGAGTTGCTCTTGACTAGCCTTTTGGTGAAAGCTCAGTCCTTGTTCACAGAGCCCACACCCTCAGAGCCATTCTCTTTAATGCCTTAAATGGGGAACTAAAGTAATACGTTAACCTAGTATATATCTAGCCATATTTTCTCTTTGAAACTGCTAGGGGTTTAATGGCTATATATTTATTTAAAACACTCTTGTCTTCCTGAGGACATGCCTGTGCACTGAAATGGATGTTTAGGAAGGTAGGATGTTAATTTAGAGAAAAATAAAGGCAGCCCTAGCCTTTGTCAGCCTCTTGCAGTGTGTTTCCTGATCTTATTTGCATGACAACACATTATCAAAACTGAGGAGCTAGAAATAAATTGGGAGGTGGGGCGCTATAGATGGCACTGCCACTGAAAGGCATGTTTGAACCCTCTGGTTCAAAGTGTCTGTGCTGTGCTAAGAGTAGAGTTAAGGATGCTTGCTGGTGCTTGCATCCCATCCACACTACATGACTGCATGAGCAAAAGCAAGGTCCTAGATTAAAACATCAAACTCCTTCATTTCAGAGGGCTCCAGAATTTGGCTGAAATCTGAATGTAAGCATGTGTGAACGAGGTGAATGTTAAACAAAGCTGCAATTAAGAATTGGTTTCAGTCCACTCTTAACTGACTTTATTGACCTACCCCAAGGGATGCCACTGGGCAAAAATACCACATTCAAGATTTAGCGCGCATGTTAAAGCACTAACCCACATGTTGTTATTTATCCATTGCCTCTCACCCTGTAGGGGTGGGCAGAGGCATGGGTATGGGACTCTGTCTCAATCTGGGTGTAAGATGCCACACGAAAAACAAGTGCAAACTCACACCCTTGTTCTGTGCACATCAGCTTTCAGGATAGAGAGGGACATTTTCATTAAAGGGGGCAAGCATATAGTTAGTAAGATCTCACTATATTTGACAGGCCTACGACATGTCTGCCAGGGTAAAGGGTTTGTTGAAATTTCATTGGATTTTGCTGCATTTCATAGTAAACCTGTGTTAATAATAGTTGATTTGAAGCAGTATGACCTAAATACCTGTCTTTTAAACCCATTTCTCGGTCATCTCATGCTAAGTACTATGGTGGCACAGGCACGCAGTTATCACTACAAACTTAAACTCCCTTTAATGTGTCACAGATGCGGCTGCAACTCAGACAGACAGACTGTACCTGTGAGATACATATATATTAATGCCAGGAGAAGTGAGGGAGAAAAGACAGAACATTAGCTTTTGCAATGAACTGCTTATCATGTAATTAATACTTGTCAGTAGTGCCGTCGCCTTGTGGACATTCACATTATTTTTACTCCTGGCATAGCCTGGCTTCTTCCTCATGTGCAGAGTTGCTTATGATGTTTTAGTACTTACTTTTATACGTGAAGGAGTAAGTTTTATTACTCAACTACATTAATTATTTTAGGTTATATAAGATTCTTTTAGCGTAAAGAAGAAATCTTTTGACCGTTTGAGTATCATTTGCATAACAGTAGAAAGATTTCACACTACCTATTAGAATGAAACTTACTGATCTGAATTGAAGATTTTCACAAATACATGCTTTATGGTCAGATTTATTCTAAACTTGATGGATTTATCTGATAGAATTGGTAGTAGATAATGGCTATAAATTAAATCAGTGAAGCACCAGGTATGTTGAAGAGTGCATTTGAATCAAAGTGGTACAGATTTGTACAAGTAGGAGAAAAATCTTAAAATTCAGGACAGAAATGAGATGAAAGAGAAAGGAAGAGGCAGGTTAGGTTATTTTCCACAAACGTGACTGTAAAAAGAAATATGTTTTAGTAAAGTTATGAGGGAATGTTAATTTTCTGTAGAACACAAACATTTGCAAACCTTCTCCATGGAGGTGAAAAACCTGGCCTATGTTCTGGCTGACGATTTTTTCCTGCTCTGCAAGGCATTTTCAGAATTTATGTTGTCTTCATTTTCCTTTTTTAAAAAGCTACTATCTGAGAATTACGTACCTCTTTTCCTCGGCTGTGGTTTCATGTTGCAAGACTTCAACAGCAATACTCTTTCAAGGCTGCCTATCTCCTCTTCAGTCATCCCCTGGCACACCATCCACTGTGCTGAGAATGGGATCTGGGAACTGAGCTGGATTAAATATCAAAACGGGTGAAAAATTACATTCATTTATAGTGCCATCACTTCTCTGAGCCTTCAGACAGTTACACTGGCACAACTGAAGTGTTTGCACACTAGCAAACAAGGAAGAGCACGAATGCCAGAAACTAGTATTGCAACAAACTCTTTCTGTCACAAAACCATCATTGTATGGGGCTTTACTTCCAAGCTGTTCAATGCTAGTTTTCAGTATGTTGCTGTCAAGTGTTTGCTGGATGTATTGGTAAGAGGGGCAGGAGCTGGAGTTCTGCTTGCTCCAACTGAGCAAAAGATTAAAGTGAAATAAAAGAGCAAAGACAAGACATGGCTGGGATGCATAGACGAGAATGGATAAGAAGAGTATGAACAAGAATTACCCTTCAGTTGAAGAATTAGGGCTTTTTCCCATTGAATGATAAGGTTCTGAACTAACAATAAAAAAATTGGTGTAGTTTCTGAAGGTGGCTTTCAAAATATGATCTTTATGTAAACTTACTACTGGCGTTAGAGTTCTACTATGGTTTATGATTGTATGTGTACAAGTGTGTACATGGTTTGTAGACAATCTTTTTATGTATATAAAAAACTTAAACTGGACTCTATCAGAAAGAATTTGACAGTCCTTTACTTGAGATAGTGTGCGAGTATTTATGTCTGGCTTTGTTTTTAGGAGTTTTCTTGCAATTTTGGTATAATTCTGCCTAAGTATTTAAATGGTAAACTCGTAATTTTAAGAAACAAGTGACAATGATGTCTAAATGCAGGGTTTGAAATATGACAGCATGGTACAAACCGTTTTTCTTACAGTTTTACAACTGTTTTTCTTCTGTATTTAAGGTGGCCTAAGACATGCAGTTGCCAGTATAGCAGGACTTGAGGCTTACAAGTACATGAAATTTGAAGGAGGAGTGCATCGTGTTCAGCGGGTGCCAAAGACAGAAAAACAAGGACGCATTCACACCAGCACAATGACAGTTGCGATATTACCCCAACCCACCAAGGTAGTATTTATCTTTTAGTGTAACAGACTTTGCCATGAGCGAAGTTTTTATATGACATATTGCTGATACCCAAGTGTTTTCTGTCTCTCTTGTTATTCTCTCTTAATGATTTTTTTTATCTTAGTTTAAAAATAAGTTATATTTGTTTCTTTATTTTTATTTTTTGTCTAGGGGAGTAAAATAAAGAATTTCTGGATTGCCTCATAACCATAATCTCAGGAAAGTCACTGGCAGTTTACTTCACTAGAACTTGAGAATTCAATGTGACTGTCTTGCATGTTTTGTGTAAAACTTTACATCTTTTACAAAGTAACAGAAGACTGAATTAGCTTACAGAGCTCATAGAGATTTCTTTTAGCGCCTCCTCCATTTTTGTAGTGTCCTCACTCTCCCCTTGCAAAGTGTACAGGTGATAATTAATTCTCGACATATTTGCTTGGTTAAAAGCAACTGGCTAAGAATTAAAGCTTTGTTTTGATCTTTGTTTCGTGTTGACCTAGCAAACTGTCAAAGATGTTGCTCCTTCCTATTCTCTCCCGAAGTTGTCTGTTGTCTCGCTCCTTCCTCCCAGAGACCATCACCCCATTCCAGAGCCAGCAAAGGGAATATGTTCCATTTTATCTAAAAGCCATCTGGTCAAGTTTGAATATTGGTTAACTCTGCTGGAAGAGGGTGCAGAGATTTCAGAAGAAGATTAGTGCTAAGGGACAGTTATGCCTTAAGCTACTAATAGTCTGATTTCCTGGCTTCCGTCAGGTCGCATTCCAATCTGGCTACAAGGATTTGTTAATATATTTATACGTAGATGTGAGCTACCACTCATAAACTTTAAAAAGATTGATCTTGCCTGAATGTGCCTTATAAAATAAACCAGCTATGCATATTTGACATCTGTCTAGAAAGAAACAACATAAATGTGTTCTTTTTGTTTGTTTGGTTGGTTGGTTTTCTGTCTCCCATGACAGATGAGGCTGCAAATTAATCCAAAAGATCTACGGATAGAAACAAAGCGAGCCAGTGGAGCTGGAGGCCAGCACGTCAATACCACAGACAGTGCTGTGCGGATCGTTCATATTCCAACAGGTGCTTCATTTTTTCCTTACTACGAGAACTGTATTGCAAAGCTGCTGCCAGAATGTCTTTTGAAACAATGGTTTTGCTTTCAAACCTGGACAACAGTAGAGCAGAGTTTTCATGTAGTTTTCATGTGTGTTTATAGTACTCTAAATGCACCATCTTGTGCCCGCTCCAATTTGTAATAGTGAAGACTACTGGCTTCAGTAGGTCAGCTATCCATTTTGCCATTAAACATGACACTCTAAAAGCATCCCAATCAGTTTCCATGAAAAAGTTATATTTAAGCTTTCAGATAATGGAAAAGAAACTGAAAAACAGAGTAGGTTAAAATCTGATGATTTGCCTTTTCTTGAGTAGTCTCTGAAAGAGAGATTGTTCTATTTCCATATTAAAATGTTGCTTTTAATTGCAGAGCCTACTCAGGATGCCAGTTTCCATTTGTCTGCTGGCTCCTTTCCCATAGATTACACACAGAAATAGGAGGCTGGTCCCCAGGGCTCAGGTTAGGAAACATATGACGGATAAGGTACACCCTCAAATGCTACCTAATTTTAGCTATCATATCTTTTTTTTTATTGCCATTCCTAAGCTTTTTACTTCCCTTTGAGCAATCCACAACAGCTGCCTTGACTTTCATTGCTTCTTAACTTTTCCTCTTCGCTACCACAAACATTAGTCAGGCTTTACAGCCTCAGGGTAATCCCAAGTGCTCTTTTATCTTCACGTATCCAGATTTTTGCCACCCATTTCTTCGTATTTATGGAAGACATTAATCCATTCTGCGCTTCTTGCATCACTTCAGTAAAGCAGAAGTTAAACAGTGGAGAGGATAGAATTCCATTCAAGATACGTTGACAAAAAGGTGTTCCAGATTCAAAAAGTTTTGGATTGGCTGCATGTTTGGAAAAAAACCCCCACAAACTAAAACCAGCAAATGATCCTAGTTTTTTGCTGAAGGCAGTTATTAGTGTTTGTTACGGAAATCTTAAAATGTATTGCATATTTTTTTGTGGTTATGCACTAGAGATGGTTCATAAGGGGTTTTATATCTCACCTTATTTTCTGACTTTTTCCTCTTCCACCTTTCCCTTCTTCATTCCTCTTGTTCTCTCTTCCTTTACAGTTGTGCTGTTTCTCTCATCCTAACTCTTCTTACAACCTTCATTGTGACCCAAAAAGTTATTTGTAAACAAGTCTTTCATAAAGTAATACTATGTAATCTTACAAAAGCATACTGTAATCTTACCAGAGTTATTTAAAATAAATCCAAGTAACAACCTAGCTTGTGCTGTCCTCTTCCTATATTTCTTCTCCTTACTCCTTTCTTAGGCTGTTTTACTTCTCATCTTAACTTGAATTGTATATTTTGGGGGGAGAAACCACACTTTTTTTTTTTAAGACAATAGTGCCCACTTTTGTATATTCTGATCATATTCTATATACTTACTATCTCGTGTATTTTACTGCTCCTTAATTCCTAAATTTCCTGGAACTGTGGCCAAAAATTACAAGTATCAAAGGTATCTTCTGTAAGTCAGGTCACATCACGTGTCTTTTATTTCATTACCTACCTGTTGTCCAACATACTGAATTAAATTTCTTGTCTTATGGCATAAAGCACCTATACAACTCAGCCTGCATTTCTCTCCCAAAATGTATCATTAGACATTAATAAGCCTGGACTTTTACATTCCCAGTCCCAAACATATACTGAAGAAAGAAATAGCTTATTGTAAGATAATAACAAATCTTGTAGAAATTGCAAACCCCTGTTAGTATGTGTTATTGTTAAGTGTTAAATGTCATGATATTTTTGGCAGGGATTGTGTCTGAATGCCAGCAAGAAAGATCTCAAATTAGAAACAAAGAGAAGGCTATGCAAATGCTTTGTGCTAAACTATACAACGCCAAACTGGAAGAAGAAACCAAAAAGAGAAACAGTGTTCGAAAGATTCAAGTAAGTTTCACTTAGTAAAGATATAATTCTGTACGAGCAATTCTGTTCTTGGGGTAACTCCTGTGTTGAACTGCAAATAGTAAATGGAAATACAGAGGAACAGGAACCCAGGAAGGATTCAGACAAGGCAAAATTTACAATCTACTTGAGCAAGAAAGGTCATATATTAAAAAGACTTAAAATTTCAGAAGTATGTAAATTCAAGAGATCTAGTGAAACAAACTGGACTACAGCATGGTAAAATTGTTCTTGTACGTGTTTGAGAACAATTACTGCAACTACTGAACTGGTCTTAGTACTGTGTAACTACAACAAATTTTGGATAATCATGGGAGGAAGAGAAAGCTTTCACTTTAGATGCTTAATATTTCATCCTTTCTATAAAAAGACGATGATGATTGACTGATTCTTCTTCTTTGATAGATTGGGACTAAAGGAAGATCAGAGAAGATCAGAACATACAACTTCCCACAGGACCGGATTACTGACCACAGGATAAGCAGATCGGTGCATCATATTGAGTGTTTCATGCTAGGGGAAGAAATGCTAGATGAAATGATACAAACTCTGAGAGAATATGCTGATTATGAATCTTTAATGGAAATTATTTCAGAAAATGAAAACAAGACTCTATCCTGAACACTGCTCTTTGTCAGCCCGTTACAACAGATGTAGACATTTGTCTGCAAAGGAGCTTCTCAGAGCACCACCCAGAAAACGCAACTGCTTTTCAGATCATGACAGACACCACAGCTTGTTTCTGCATGACTGATAAACAGTCGTCTTACTTGCTGAGAAAGAGACTTTACCTTCGTATGAGACATTAGTGCTGCAGAAGTCCACTTAAAAAGTAAATTTGGCTGGGCCAGGAGTAACTGCAGCTTTTAACTTTCTCCACTGCGAAGATGCTGATACGCCACTCTCTAAAGGTATGCATTAAAAAATGAGCTATTTCTAGTTCCAGTTTTCATTTAAACACTAGGTTAAACATCAGTACAGTGTCAAATAGCTTGCTTGAGAGAATAACCCTATTTTGTTTGAGTGTTTGGAAGAAAGTGATAAATAAATGACCCCACTTACTAATCTGCACATTTGTTAATCATTTATACGTGGCATGGGAGAGGGAGTCAAAGCGTATCTCCTCCATGTTTTCATGGCCTTCTGGCCCTTGCTAATAAACACAAAAAATTGTTTAGGAATATCCCTTGTTCAAAAAAAAAAGCTGTGGAATCCAAGTGACAAGTTACATAAATTGCTTTTGAAAAGGATGTTTCTGTTCTTGAGTCAAAAATTAAAAGAATCGTTACAATATTTGGCTGATATTTCAGTCTCCATTTGGCTTCACTTCAGTTTCTCCTTTATGTTTTTAATTGTCTAATTTACTGATTTTTCTAAATGTTACATGGTACGAGCGACATCTTGCTGGTTTTGTCTATTGATTTAACAGCATCTTAAAAACTTTCAAACTGTGAAAGTAAAACTTTTGCCTTTCTGATTTACTGATGTATGCGCACGTTTACGTCTGTAGGTAAAGAAGACTTTTAACCTATATTTTAGACTACGTTTTACAATCCCAAACACATACAGCAATACCAAACCTGCAGCTTCCATGCCACATTATCCCATCGTGCATTGTACCTACGCGCGTGTGTATACACACACAGAATGTACTTGAAATATAAATACCAGTAAATAAGAAGTTAGAATGTAAAGACAAATGTTACCATGAATATAGGGGTGTTTACTTCCAGACTTCTAATTAAAATCAGTATAAGAAATTAGAATGGGAACAAAGTAAGTTTGCTACAGATAGCTTATAGAAATGCATTATTTAAACATCCTACAGGAAAATCAATGGATTATTGTCAATTTATTATCTTCTTTTATTACATTTGAGACTGCAGTGTGAACCAATGCATGTAAAAAAACCCGCACAGATTCACTTAATACTTTTATCAGCTTTGTTTTCTAGGAAATACTGCATGGTAACTATGGTTAAGTTCCAAATCTTTTAATTAAAGATGCATACATTAAATTCAGATGTAGGCGTGCCTGTATGCATAAGGTGAGGCATACATATTTCTCCATGGTAAGCGTGAGACCTAGGTCTAGATTTACTAGCAGATTTACAACTCTCAACTGGCACGTAAGAAAGTAAAACCAAACATAGATGCATTTTGTGTGTAAAATAATTAGATACTGATTGGAGCAGAAACGAGGGCTGAAGCCTTGGTTCCTGCCGGATCCGTACTGTAAACAGAAGACCACAGAGCACTTGTGACCATCTTCCCAACTGCATGTAAAGGCAGACTATCTTGTAGCAAGCGATGGATGCAGTTTGCCATTCTTACTCTCTAACTTCAGCATCATATTCCTTCAAATGAAGGGCCACCAGCCAGGTCTAGGCACTGGGCTGCTGCATGAAGCTTATATGAGTGTTCAGGCCTTTGTCACCCTGGACCTTCCCTAATGTTCCAGCTAGTAGCCTGGCTGGCCAGACCCTGCCTGGCTGGCAGCCTCCCCGTTCTTGTCTGGCTCCTGCACAGGCACGAGGTGTGGTGGGGCCTCGCAAGCGGCCAGCCCGAGAAAAGCCAGGTACTGCGTGGTGCTGGCAGAGGGATCCCAAAACTGGCATCCAACTCTGTTGTACAAGGTGGACTTTGCTATCGTGCGCAGCACCTCCTTGGTCTGTTGTGACGAGCTTTACTGCCTACAGACTTTGAAGTCCCTTTCTTGCTCCGT